GTATAAAATATATATTTTTCTTTTTGTAGAGATATACAGTCTCACGTATCCTCCTGAATACGAGAGTCAAGTCAAGTACTTTTTTCTAAAAGCTAACCTATATTCTATTCATTGATCTGATTTTCACAAATCATCGGGAACTGATCCTGATAGAAAATTCTATATCATGACGAACAATACGTAACAAACTCGCTTGAGTCTGATTTCAAAAAGGCAAAGAAATTAAAGGAGCACACACGAGGCTGTGTAGTTATATAAAAAAAAACAAATATTTTATGCGTCAAATGTGAGAGGTATGAACTGATGTGTTATGCCATCAGGTTTTGGCGCTTGAATGATGAAAAGTGCTAGTTAGAAATATGAAACTGTTAGCTAATTTTTATATCGATAGACATTATGTGTTTTTGATGTGAAAAATGCTTTTTTTCTTTTTCTTTGGACACTATTTTGTGTAAAATGTGCGCCTCATAATCTAGAGAACTGCGCTACTTAGAAAAGTTCTGAAAACGGGATACTGTTCTTGATATGTTCAAGATTAACTAATGCTTGTTCATTTTTCGAGTAGTGGTCCACATTCTGCGTCCTAAGATGGAAGAACTTAACAGAAAATGTATTTCGGACTTAGAAAGTTTTCATACATTTTGTTACCGGTGCTATTTTTTAATGAGAACTTTCAGAACAAAATAAATTGTTTATTTCTTTGTTCAGAAAATAATTTTCGTTAGTGAGGAAGAGAAAAGAAGAAAAAGAAGATTCCTTGGTCAGAATAAGAAGAAACACAGAAGAAGACATACAGTTATTGATAATTGAGATTGTTAGGAATGTAAGGGAAAAGAAAGCAGAAGAAAGATAAATTCACTACCATAAATTTATAAGATATCGCTTTTTAGGTATCTGATGTAAGAAGAAACAATAGCTTAGCCGTAATTATGCGAAGATTTAATATTTCTTTCTTCTAGGTCTACACCTGAGACAGATTTTACTCTAGTACCTGTACACTGAAAAAAAGGATCATTTTCTTTACGAGATTTATACCTTCTTCTTTAGTCATCTGTTTTACAAAATGTGCGCCGAGTGATCTGAGGAACTACGCTACGTAGAAAACTTCTGAAAGCGGTACATTGTTCTAGCAAAAGAACCGTAGTTGAACTCTTCTACACTGTAAAAAATAAAGTGTGTTACTAGGTGTGTAAATCTTCTAAACATCGAAAGTGTGTACCTTTTCTAGATGGTTAATCTAAGTGTGTAAAGAGCTAGGTGCGTTAAAAAGATCTCTTATTTTCTATTTTTCTTCCGAACTACTGCATCGAATGAAAAAATAATTTCAGAATCATGATCATCATCTTCCAAAGTATATATGCTGTCATTTCCGGCAAAAACGGATAAGAAAAAAAAGTGAAAAAAAACATCGGCATATGGTAGATTTGAACGATCGATTGATGAATCTAAGATATTTTCAGCATAGATAGTTTAGACAAGTAGACTATATCATTGGTGTGTAGAGTCATACGGTCACTTCTCAGTGTGTACTTTACACACTTATGCCGTGTATTCTCGACGGTCACTGGGAATCGACTTGGCGTTCACTTTATATGTGTCATTTACACACTTTGTTTTTTACAATGTACTGTTGCAGCGCTTTTTGTCATTAGTCAGCACATACAAAGTCTGTTGACATCGCTACTTGCGCAAAACACAATTGCAATCTAGTTATTATATGTTCTATTTCAGATTGATTCTACTCTGTATTTTCTTCTTTAACCTCTATTATTCGTCTTCATTATGACTAGTATATGGGATCAATATATATGTCAATGCGGGTACAACATGTTACAGGAATATCAGTTTAGCGTTCACGACTTTGGATTTAAATTGTTGATCAAACGTTTCATAATTCAAGATGGCTATAAATTGATAATGTTATGCTACTAGTATCAATTGGATGGTGCTGTTGATTTGTCAAAAAGCCTTGATTTTACATCAACACTCGGTTTGAGAAGAGCGGTAGAGCATTATATAAGACTATCCGATCAGTAGTTGAAGTTATATTTGGTAATATTATTAAAAACCAAAAGGAGGACATAAAATTGGATCGCACTATATATACAAATTGAATTAAGATATTTCCGATAATTTACTATTCGTTGAAGAAATCATCATCATTTTTTTCTGGTTTAATGAGAAGCATGTAAAAGAAAATTAAATTTTTGAGCATATAAAGATAAGTGTCACAGTGTTCTTAATTATGTAAACGTATATAATAGAGGTCTGCGGTATCTTAATCTTATGAAAACTAAAATGATAAAACGTTCGTCCCCCATCCGACCATTCGCTATAAAAAAATTGTATTTACGTATGTATACCATTTTTATAGATAACAGAAATGAACAGATGACTCGCAAATTTAGCAATAAACCTACGTATGTGTGTATTAATCATTGGAAAAAACATACATTAACTGGAATTATTAACTATATTTTCAATTTATATAGCAAAAACAAGATAGTAATTAAAGCTATCAACCACGTTCAGTATGTTGTTAATTCTCCATTGCGTCTAATAAAAATAAGAGTGGTCGATGATAAAACAAATATTGATTGCACACGTTCAAAATATAGCCATCTAATAAGTTTAACGCGTTGTATTAAAATTATATTTGTATTTTAATACGATTTCTGTCCTTAAATAATCATTATTATCTTGGTATTATCATGTTCTGCATGAGAATGAAACTAATTTTCATATTGTTATGATCCTTTCAACAGTAATGAACACAATAAACATGACATAAAATAATATAGTTTCTACCTAAGAACAATTTCACCGATACCTAGCTTTGGATGAAAAAGACTAGAATGTAAAATTTCTCATTCAGTTAACACTACATAATATGTTTCTTTGCAATGAATGGTGATGAGTATTACTATATCTTGTAGTATATATTCTTTTCTGTACTTATTATTTTTCATCAAAATTGAGTCAGCTATAGAAACCGATTGAATCTTTTGAGTTTATGCACACTTCTCTTATACTAGAAATGAAATGAATGATTAACCTTATGCCTTCCCGTTCTCTTTCAAATGAAGATCAGTTTCTCTTCTGTAACGTCATCTATCAGATAGTACATTATCTAGTAGAACTGCGACAAATAGCGATTTTCTTTGTTTCTTATTCCGTTATATAGACTATAGTGTTGTGAAGAAATAAAGAATGCACGCTTAGACCTGTGCGTACAAGGTGCATTTCTCCACAAACGAACTCGATATCCTTTTGGTCTTCACTTTCCCAGCCTGACGTTGTCATTTGCTAACATTTTCTGCTGCGTTGCACAAACAGCCGCCTAGAAAGGCTTTAGAGCCATTGCGCGGAAAGAACGACCTATACTACAAATCTAAAACAGTTACCAATGATATCAAAATCTACTATGTTTTACAGTAGATATCGATTCCAATGATCGTTTACCGTCAGCACTCTTGGTCACTGAATAACTAACTATTGACTATCGTTTTACTGTTAGTGATATACAAGAATATAACGGATTGTTAACAATAGAACGTATAGGTATTTGTAATCTAATTCTTCCGGTAACACAATACCTTCCATCGAATAAGCTGACATATTGTATTGCTGAGAACTCGGTTATATGATACTTCAATGCCAACATCAACATCCAAAATGTAAAATATGCTTAGAAGATTTTAGTCTAAATCATAATCTACAGTGTTCAAAACAATGTAAATGTACTAATTGTAGACAAAATCATCCATCATTTGCACCATCGTGGTATGCTGTTCAGCAATATAGAAATGATCTAAATCAAGCGATAAGGCAAGCAGTAAATGATGGAGTTATCAAACTTCCTCATATCCAACAGACTCAGCAACCTTACAATTATGATATTAACAGTTTTCCACCATCAAACACAACATCGCACAGAGCTGGGCAAGTCAGGACTTTTTCAAGTCTCAAGTCAAGTCAACGAAAAGATTCGCTAAGTCAGTCAAGTCAGAAGGCCCAAAAAATGTTTCTCAGGTCAAGTCAGAGCAGAGTTGTAACCGGTTCGGAAATACTAGACCGGTCCGATCCGGCCGGTTTAAATTTCAGACCGGGCCGGTCTAAAAATGTTTCCAGACCGGTAAAAACCGCCGAGTTCATCAAGTTTTTTCAAGTAATAACATTGATATTAGGGACAAAATTTGTAGTGTGTAAATGTAATAGTCTGTCTCAAGCAGTCATTTGTCGAAGGACGAAACGTCACGAATAATTTGAAAATAAATTTGGGAAGAGATTCACTAGGTCGAATAACAAAGCCAATTAAAACGAATCTGGGTTAGGAAGCTACGGTATCGGCATATCGAAAGTAAAAAATTAGATTAACATTAAAGAAAAAAGATAAAAGCATATAAACGCCAATACGTGATAATGTTCCGATTGCTAAGATATTTTAAACAATAAATAATATGATTTTGTCTTTGAAAACAAATTGAAAGAATAAAAAGAAAAAATTTACATTTCAAATAAAATTGTCACTCTCTCTTTCCTTTAAAAAAACTACTAAGCACTCATACATAGTATCTTTCTGATGAAAAATGAACGAATATGCACAACTTTATGAAACCGGTGAAAACCGGCCGGTCTAACTCACTCAACCGGTCCGGTTACAACTCTGAGTCAGAGTCATTAAAAATGTTTTCCAGGTCAAGTCAGACTTGACTTGGACATGAGGCATTTTGGACTTGACTTGTCCAGTTCTGGCATTGGATATAAAGCCACATAAAGCTTGGAATAATCAAGATAATAATCTGAATTATTTGACAAATAGTTAATTGATAAAATAGTAACAGCAACTGCTGTTACTAATTTATCAATTCTAAAATTTCTACCCCTGAACAAGTATAATTTTTCAAAATAGTCACTTATTCTCACAACTAGAAGAATTTTTCAACGATACATTTGAACAAATAAACAAACGCTTAAACCCAATAGAACAGCAAATTAAAATGAACGAACACAATACAAGATCGAATAAAACCAGATTATCGGAATTATTTTCAAAACTAAATAATTTAATTACAACAGCAGTAAAACCAGCACTATTTTTAATGCCAAATATAGACGTTAAATTAATTGAAAGTCTGGAGGACTTAGACAAATTTTGTATATTGGCAGAAGAACGTTTAAGAATGGAATATCAATTTTCAGAAGTGACAAAAACGTTAGTAACGAAATTAGAAATCGCTTTAAATGACAATCATCAATTTCAACAAACAATGTCAAACAGCAATAGAAAAGATCAGGAACAGTCAGAAGGTACAATCAGTGAAGATCACTCTGTTTAGGTTTTGTAAATGTCTTTAAACCCCAATGCACCTATATTTGTACTTCAACAAAATAGCATCCCACTAGAAAACGCTGGTAACAGGTTGAGATTGTATGGCTTTTCTGGTAAGGAAGTTAAAAATCTGTATATGTATCTTTCTGAATGTTATGAATCAAGTTCATTGGAAGCTGCTATAGAAAAATGGGGAACCTACCGTGAAAAAAAAATGTATTTCAGAATACAAAATAATCCCTTGGCTTTTTGTTTATTGATGTCCAAGGTTGGATTTCAAGAGCTTTAGAGGTACCAGATTCAATTCAAAAGGCTGAAGCATCGTTAGTCATTTGTACCGAAGTAGGCGCAAATTGGGATTCGTTCAAGTTACCTAATTTTAATATGTTTTACGAGGAAGGAACTAACCATTGCAGCGGAGTGAGACTGTTGCAGTTGGAAAACACCTAAAAGCTACTAAAATTAATTCAAATTTAGAGAACACAATTGTTGTCGATATCTCGGATCTAAGTGTTTGTTTTCTTTTCTTCCTACCTGTGCGTGACTGGTTTTAGAAATGTCGTGAGTATGACAGGTGCATATAAGCAAGAAGTCACAAACTCAGATCGTTTGTTGCCAAGTATAGCGTCATGAGTTTTGATTACAAAAGAAAACAAACAATTGTATGGACATTTTTTCGTCTCAGCGCGTCAATTGAAAAAAAGAACAGGAAGATATGAATATGCAAAAAAAGATATCCCTTTATTTACGTAGAGTCTACGTAATATCAACTCAAGGAGACTTATTACTTTTCACCCAGAAAATTATTCTCTCTTTCTTTCCACACTATTTTTCTCGCTCGAGTCAGCAACTCGTTCTCAGTTATGTCTGACTGTAGAGAATAAGGAAAAATTTGAAAGTGCGGGGATCGTAGATGACACATCTAAAGTTAATTTTCGGATATATACTTTAGTTATCCTATAATTAGCATCTCAAAATGAGTATGTTTATGTACGTAGACAGTTATAACTTTCTTGATCTTCTAATTTCGTCTGTTTACCGTTTCACTCACGAGAAAAGATCCCCAACTGTCAACTCGCTTTTGAGCTCTAAGCTAGTGGACAATAGGTAATCAAACATGCTGAATCCGACTATGACAAGCATTTGGGCTGCTAGGCCTCCGGAGACCTGGTTTTTGGAAAACCAGTTTTCTAGGTCAAAAACTTTTTTTTTCCAAAACATTTTCTGATCTGTCCAGATTGTAGAGCATATCAAGAAACCTATGAAAAACATATTTTTTAAATTTTTGTAAGGGCTTTGAAATGTTTTCCGAGGGCAAAACTTGGCTTACGGGAAAACATTGCATTTGTTGAGTTCTTCACCCTCTTGACTGAAAGTCTCTGTTCTTCCCGCTTCTCGCACTCCGTCTGTTTGCTCCGTCTCCCTCTTACCCCCTTTTCTGCATTTAGAAACTTGAATGGAAAACCGACAACTGACTTGCATACAAAACAACAAAAAGAGAAGAGAGAGAGAGAGGTGTGCAGAGTATTGTGAAGCGGGATTGCATAGCTGTGTCTGGTAGTGATGTCAGATCCCACCCCGTGTTAAGAATGAATGTGGTGAGAGAAGGAAAGATGGAAGGTCCCCTCCTAACAATCATGATGACTCCAGTTAAAAGACGTAAAGAACGTAAAGCAGAAACACCTTTGAATAAGAACCTAGTCCCTCCAGAGTTTAAGGCAAACGTT